GTATATTGATGTGATCAATTTACTACCGGTTTAGTATTGAACCTATGGGTCACACACTAACGAGTGTTCTGATCTTTGCTAAAGGATTAATTAACTTATTATTTGATAATTGAATTAAAGAATTTAATTAGTTAAATAAATAAAGTTGTTAGTCCAAAGGAAATATTATTATACTCTTTGCTAGCACAGAGATTATAATTAATATTGTGAACGAATTAAAATTTTCTATTTAGAATAGAAAATTAAATTATATCTCTTGATTGAAATATATATGTGATATATATAATTAATATTTATTTGCACAAAGTGTGCATATAGTATATTAATAAAACTTATTTGGAAATCCAATTTAGAATTGGAATGGATACCAAAGTCCAAAAGTGGACGTGAGATTAGCTCAAACCCATTAAGAATGTGATTGATATTTTTTAATATAAAATATTAGTTAATTTTCACAATCCAATCCAATTTAGAATTGAATTGGAACGTCCTTAAAGGACAAGCTGACGACAGCGCACGTTTCCGATTAGGAATGGTATATATGTTTCTCCAATGGAAAATTCCATAAGTTTATTTTTGGAATAAATTTTTACCCCAAGTGAATCATTACCTCAACCAAATAGGAAAAGGGTTTATAGGTGATGCTATATAAAGAGTGATGGAGAAAATTTTGTCGGATGATTAATTCTTGAGAAGAAAAAAATACTTTGTGAAAGTGAGAGTGCAATATAAAGCCAAGAGAGAAAATACAATTACAAGAAAAGAGTTTCTTGTTCTTCTAACATTGAGTTGAGATTTTTGAGAAAAATTTCAACACAATATTTTTTGTTCAATTTGTTTGCGGGTTTCGTTGATTAAAGAGTAGATAGCAATGATCGGTCTCGGTGTGGATACGCGTAGAGTCTTCGCACTATCGAAGAATTTGAAACGAGACTTTTTTCAGCAGGTACGTCTTAGATCCGATCTATTGACATGTAAATAAATTTTAAACGCTAAAAAATTTACCTAGAATTATTATTGTCTTCCGCTGCGTGTTATGAACACTTATATGCAATCTTTCAACTTGTCTGTGAACACCAACCTAAAGTTTTTTATACGTGCAAAAATAACTACGCGTTAAATCCAACTAGTTTGTAATATCTATATGGATCCTCTCATTATTCTACTTTTAGCTAAGTCCACGTGGAGATTGTAGGTCGTTTGAAACAAACATCCATCAACCCGTACGAATAATATGATTGCGACATCATCTCCTTTAGGTCTCTTAACCATCATCACATTAGGGCTGGAAATATATCGGGTAAAATTGATAATTCGAACCGTTAATTGTTTATTGGGTTATCGATATTGGATTATTGGGTTAACGGTTCGATAACGGTTTAAAATTCTTTTACTATTGAGTTATCAGTTCGGGCCTCGGGTTGCCAATTTTGTTAATGGGTTAACCGATAACCCAATAAAAATTAATAAGATTACGACTTTACCCTTAAGTATATACATCTTCTAGGGCTTCAGTTCATTCTCTCCTATTCTTTCTCAGCCGCACTCTTCAGTTGCTTCATCTTCATTCTTCATAGACCTTATTAGTTACTCCTAGCTTTAGTCTTATACATTAGGTTTTTAATTTCTATAACAAAATCCATCTTCATATTAGTACTTTTGGCTATTAATGATTCTTTATATTTTATTTTCGTTTCTTAATTTTGTGAGCTTATGTTGTGCAGCCTATAACAACTACCAATTTCTCTTCGTACTTATCAATTCTTAATCGACAATCTTCGTCAGTTTCGGGTATTTTTTTAACATTATTTTTCTGTACAGTACGCTAAGCTTTAATAATAGGACAACATTTTCTTGCTTTCTAGGTATTTTTCATTTCTGTGTTAGATTGCCCATGCACAGATCAAAGTTTTGCTCTATGGTTTCTTTTTCATGTTAGGCATTTGACAAACATCCAGTTTATCTTGGACTGTTAGTACTATATGTTTGGACTTGTTAATTTTAAGGTGAAATTGCTACTACTTTATATTATTATTAATGTATTTGGACAACTATTGTTGAAGAATTAGTACTACTCCAGTTGAGGCAACTGGACAGAACGCAGAAATGGGTAATATACTATATCTGAATTCTTCTCTTTTTTGCTTAACTCTAGTGAATTGTCTTCTCTTTTTTGCTTAACTCTAGATTGAGTTATCTTATTGGTAAACCGATAACCGAACCGATAATGATCTATAACCGATTAACCGATTAACCGATAACCGATAACCAATATCTTATCGGTTTATCAAATTTGTAAACCGATAACCGATATGCTAAACCGATAATATTCATAACCGAACCGAACCGACCGATGCACACCCCTACATCACATGGTAGTGTTCAGAAATAGCTCTAGAATAATGGATAAAATAAAATAATGAGTTGCTTGAGATAATATTGAACAGAAAATTATTTTCAAACACACACAAAAAAGAACTTTCTATATAAATAAGGTTGCTACTGATGGAATGTGGCTCATGAATTTAAATGCTACGTAATAAACAAAGTGAACCTGCCATAGACATGGCTATCCATACTATAAGCATCCACGTCGCAGACTAATTTCATGTACAAGGACTTGTTTGTTGATATCTAACACTCCCCTATGTAAAGAATCAATCATCCTCTGACAGACTATGAATCAATTAAACTAGGAAAAAAATGCATCAATTAATTAAAACCAACTTAATTCCAATGAGCTTGTAATTCATATAGATTTAATGCTAATACGTATTTGAATTATATTTACATATTATAGCCTTCTACCAGAGGTCATACTCTCATATTGATACTCATTCTTTGGCAATAAAAATATAAGACAAGTTCTACACAAGGGAATCAAAGCATATAAACAGTTCTTTTGAACACTATTATATTTTGATTGAATTAGTAACATCTTGATGTGAAGATTAATCTTATTTGTACATAAAATAAAGAGAAAACCTTAAAAAATAAAAAGAAAAATACACTCAAAAAAACTTTTAAGGGTAGATTTGAAGCATGGTCAATTGCAAAAAGATACTCGAAATCATGGACTGAGCAGCTAGTTACGGACAATTCCAATTCTTCTCCCATATTGAGGATTGTGATGTCTTGTTCATGAAAGAAATCCTTAAACCATGAAGAAGACAAGTATTCTTTTGGCACCTCGTATTTCTTCCAATCCAAATATTCTTTCTTTGTATCTTCGATTTCGATGTCTTGCTCTAATTCATCGAGGAAATCCCCAAACAATGTAGAAGTCACGAATTCATTTGGAATCTCATAATCCTTCAATTTTATTTCTTCTTTCTTCGTATCTAGGGTTTTTATTTTTTGTTGGAATTCATCAAAGCAATCCACGAACAATGAAGAAGTCGAGTTTTCTTTTGGGACCTCATACTCTTTCAATTCCAATTCATCTCTCTTCGTATCTAGAATTTCGCTATCAACTTGTTCATATGCATGGATGAAATCTTCGAACAATGAAGAATACACGTACTCTTTTGGAACCCCATAATTCAACTCCTCTCTGTCGCATGCATACACAACAAAAGTTGACTTCTTGCATTCCTTTTGCAACTTCTTGGAAGTTATGATGTTCTTCATAATCTTGGTGTAGTCGTTGTAGTTGAACTTGTATGTTAGTAGGTGTTGAACCGTTTTGCAGAAACCTAATACTTCCATTGATGGAGCTTTTGAATCAATAGAGAGAAGGAGATTTATATGTGAAGCTTGGACATGAAAGGAAAAGAGAAAAATGTGATTGTTTATCTGTTAAACATTGGACTGGTGAATGCATTTATATATACTGTATTATAAATCTTAATCCTAAGAGAAGTGGGATTTCGCAGCATTCTTTTTTTTCCTACTTTGAGTCGGCTTCGTGTTGTTAAAGCTAAGAAAGAGGCATTTTTGGCCCATTATATTCTCCTTTGTATCAAACTTTACCTTTTAATGTCATGTTGTTTACTGCCTTGTTTTAGAAATTTTATTCATAGATTTTTGGTCTCAAAAACAAAAAAGACATAACAATGCAAATATGCATTATTAGAATTTAGGGTATATTGTATGACCGCANTTTAATCATTCATAGTGGTACACTGGGAAAAATACACTAAGGTTGTGCGTAGGCTGTTATCATTTGAGCAAAGAGGTGAATAAACAATGTCATTAGTGGTGTAAAGCTACCACCAAGTAGATCTCTCAGTAGATATCATATCATTATTTTGCTTTACGAAATATCATTGTCTCATACATATCTAAGCTTGGAGATAGTATAAGAATTTTTTATGTCAATAAATGTGAAATTTTACTAGAAGTTTTTTTGGTTTTCCATCCGGTGTTCGGTATCCGCATTGGAGCCCGACTATATCCGGATTCGCACCGCATAGGGCCCCATTCGGGGGGAAGCGCTCCATACCAAGGATTTTTCACTACAAAAAAACAGTCAAATTGCGACAGTTAATTAGCGGCGATCACCGATAACTGCCGCAAATTGTATCAAATTGTGGGACTTTATCTCTAACTGACACAATCTATATATATATATATATATATAATTGAAGGGCATAAGAGAGGTTATGTGGCATTCTCTTAGGCCAGAATTACTATTTATCTTTTATCTCAATTTTTTTGGCTTTTTCTCTCTTTTTTAATTATAATGCATATTTTAAAATTCCAAACGTCATCTCATTAATTATGTACATAATTGCACCTGTTCACAAGATTACAATCCAGAAAAAATACCCAAATCTGATTCGTCGCCAGATGCGGCTCTTACTCAAATTAAACTTCATCCAACATCTCATGATCATCATAGGGTGAACCACCAAATATGGGTTTGTAACTTCATTTCATTGTCCTTTTGCAAATCAGTAAGTTCCTACATGTCCTTATTTTATTTTTCCCTCAAAGAAAATTAAAAAAAAACTAACATTTTGAGTCTGAATTCTGAGTTTTGGATGCAGTGTCAGCGATAAAAATAGTAGAGTATAGAGTGGCAGGACTGGAAGGAAGGCTATTATAGAATTCTATTTCTACCAATTTATGATAATCCTTCTTCCATAGGGAAAAGGTATTTGTTAACTTTTCCCCCTTTTAATATTTTTATTTTGGACCTATATTTTGTTTTTTGCTATACTGCAGTTTTTTTAATCATGGGTTCTGTCACTGTATTTTCTTTTACATACATTAGATTTTCCTCCAGGTTTATAATGAATATGGAGGTGTTTGAGATGAAGTTTTTTCTTCTAGAGGGAAAAACTATTCATATTAGTAATTGGTTCCCTACACATTACGAAACCAAAGCTTTGATCTTTTACTGCCATAAAAGGTGACCATCTTACCCTAATCAAAATTTTGTTTTAATTTCTCTTCACGCTGAAATTGCTACATGTACCTGCATTAATACAACCAATATTGGATATATGAAATCTAATCAGATATACTCTTGCTTTTGCATTTTATGATGTGATCTCCTAGGAAAAAAAATGCATTTTTGTATAGTTTTGTGAGTATTTCAAATTAGTTGAGATTTATGTCTCCTTTTGTGTATTATGGTGTTTGCTATTTTGTGGGTGTATGAAATTTAATCAGATTTAACTTTTTTTGCTTTTTTGTTTTCTGGTGCTTATCTCTTGTATTCGTACTTATGTTCCCATGACTGGATTAAAGTATCAAACAAGGAAACCACAGGGAAAAAGGCCGGGAAAAAGCTCAAGTTGGGGCCGGTAAAGGCAACACCGTTAGAACAGGAGCTATTGATCTCGATTTAAAAGTCAAAATCTTGGGACTTTTTNGCTATTATAGAATTCTATTTCTACCAATTTATGATAATCCTTCTTCCATAGGGAAAAGGTATTTTGTTAACTCTTCCCCCTTTTAATATTTTTATTTTGGATCTATATTTTGTTTTTTGCTATACTGCAGTTTTGTTAATCATGGGTTCTGTCACTGTATTTTCTTTTACATACATTAGATTTTCCTCCAGGTTTATAATGAATATGGAGGTGTTTGAGATGAAGTTTTTTCTTCTAGAGGGAAAAATTATTCACATTAGTAATTGGTTCCCTACACATTACAAAACCAAAGCTTTGATCTTTTACTGCCATAAAAGGGGAACATCTTACCCTAATCAAATTTTTGTTTTAATTTCTCTTCACGCTGAAATTGCTACATGTACCTGCATTAATACAATCAATATTGGATATATGAAATCTAATCAGATATACTCTTGCTTTTGCATTTTATGATGTGATCTCCTAGGGAAAAAAATGCATTTTTGTATAGTTTTGTGAGTATTTCAAATTATTTGAGATTTATGTCTCCTTTTGTGTATTATGGTGTTTGCTATTTTGTGAGTGTATGAAATTTAATCAGATTTAACTTTTTTTGCTTTTTTGTTTTCTGGTGCTTATCTCTTGTATTCGTACTTATGTTCCCATGACTGGATTAAAGTATCAAACAAGGAAACCACAGGGAAAAAGGCCGGGAAAAAGCTCAAGTTGGGGCCGGTAAAGGCAACACCGTTAGAACATGAGCTATTGATCTCGATTTAAAAGTCAAAATCTTGGGACTTTTGTTGGTTCATCCATATTTTTGAGTTAGAAGATAATAAGCTATGCAAATCTTATTTTTTGGTCTTCTGGAGTTTTTCTCCGTCCATACATGTCCATTCTTGGTCTTTATCCAATGTAGGTGAGTATGTCTTAACTTCTCCGGGTGAATTTTTGAGAAAATATACTTTCGTCATTTTCTCAACTGTTTGTTTTTATTATGTAATTTACATGAATAATGTGTATTAACTTTTCATATTCTTTAATATGTTTTTCATCATAAAGTTCGTTTCTTGGATAGTTTTAATATGACCAGCCAAGTAATTATTTGCAAGTCTACNATTTTTTGAGAAAATATACTTCCGTCATTTTCTCAACTGTTTGTTTTTATTATGTAATTTACATGAATAATGTGTATTAACTTTTCATATTCTTTAATATGTTTTTCAGCATAAAGTTCGTTTCTTGGATAGTTTTAATATGGCCAGCCAAGTAATTATTTGCAAGTCTACAAACGTTATTACTATTATTGATAAAAGCTACAAAAGGAATGTGATTCTCTTATTTAAATTTGGTTTTTTGTTTTCATATGCCTTTTCCTTGCATTGTATATTTGGTTTGGTATCTTCTACATGTTTGGAAGAAGTTCAATTAAGAGTAACAATATAAGTTCGAGTATTCATAATAAAATGGACAAATCTAATCTTTTCGGATGTGAATACTAAAATATTTTTAATATTCGAATATTGGCAAATTATTATTTATATTTTTTATGATCGCGCGAAGCGCGGATAAATTTACTAGTGTTTAATATGTGATAAGTCACTAATTCAGGAGTCCTTGAAGGCTTTGATTATAAGGCTAAAAACTTAACCTTACTCAAAATTTTCAACCAACAATAAATAAATAAAAAGTGTCTTTTATAAATATAATAGTCTTGTCGTACGCGTTTTACACGTGTTCCCATTTTAATGAGTAATATTTTAAAAATGATATAAGTAGTATTGAGCGATGTGCTTTAGATATAAATAAAAATAAAAATATAAGTTTCTAAAAATATATTTGTTGATTTTAATAAAGAATAAAATCCGGCCACATTGGAAGTCTTCAGAGTTTTATAGGAGTATCTTAAGCTCTAAATATTAGAAAAATATTAAATAACAATCTTATCCAATATGAAATATATTTTAAAAGAAAGTTCATATTTTTATAATAATATAAATATGTATAGATGATTAAGCTATGAGTATTTTGCTTTATCTTCTTCAACTGCATTATTTCAAAAATTGAACTTTAAATTTTTCATAGTACGCATAACTTATAGATGGTCAAAATTAAGAATTATAAATAGTCAAAATATAGACTACACTTTAATAACAAAATTATATTTATTAAGATCCAAATTGATTATCTACTTTTAGGAGGTATGATAGAGGTTTATGCATGGACTGTAAGGTCATCCCTAGTAAGAATCTCATGACCAAACATTGGATGTTGGTTATGGCCCAGGCGATCATGCGGACAAAGAAAAAGATAGTTGTGTTTGGTCTACCTAGGATCAGGTGGAGTGCCTTGACTAAAGAAAAAGCTCCGGTGTTGGGGAGAAGTTACTAGCTATGGGGGCCTAGAAGAGTAGTGGGAATTCGAGTTGTATGTGGACCATGACAGCGAACTGTATTAGAGAAGTTGCGAGAGAGGTATTAGGGGTCTTGAAGAGTTTCTCCGGTGTCCGCAAAAGGGACTGATGGTGGAATGAAGAGGTCCAAGATAAAATGAAAGCTAAAAAGAGGATTAGTTGAAGCTAGTAGAGACCATAGACGAGGTGGAGAAGAGGTCCAATAGGGACTGGTGTAAGAAGGCTAAGCAGTTACGGCGGCTAAAATTGCGACGTTTGAACGTCTGTGTGAAGATCTTGGGGAGTGTAACGATCTGGTCGGTTATTTTGAGAGTTAGAGCCCCGATCCCTTATTAACTACTTTTTTGTATCTATTTCTGCTATTGTGGCTTTCCAGGAGGTTTCATTTAGATTTTTTGAAGTGTTTGGGACACTTAGTCCCTAAATGGAGGTTTAAGCCTTAGGATTTTGACCGTAGTCAGAACTGTGTAAAGACGGTTCCAGAATGGAGTTTCGTCGATTTCGTTAGCTTTGTTGAGTGATTTTGGGCTGAGGGGCATGTCCGAATTGTGTTTTAGAGGTCTGTAGCTCATTTAGGCTTGAAATGGCGAAAGTCAATTTTTTGGAGTTTGGACCGATAGTGTAATTTTTGATATCGGGATCGGATTTTGATTTCGGAAGTTGGAGTAGGTTCGTAATGTTGAATAAGACTTATGTGCAAAATTTGAGGGTATTTGGACGTGATTTGATAGATTTCAGCGCCAGTTGTGAAAATTTAAAGTTTCAAGTTCTCTAAGTTTGAATTAGAGGGTGATTCGTGATTTTAGCATTGTTTGATGTGATTTGAGGGCTCGACTAAGTTAGTATGGTATTTTAAGACTTGTTGGTATGTTTGGTTGAGGTCCCGGGGGCCTCGGGTTGATTTTGGATGGTTAACGGACCTTTGGACTTAAGAAAATTATTGCAGATTTTGCTGAAGTCTCCAACTCTAGTTTCCTTTTTCGCGTTAGAAAGGGAGGTCACACATTGGCAAAGAGGAGCTGGGACAGGAGGTGAAGTTGCTCTTTGCGTTCGCGAATATGCGGACGCGTTCGCGAAGGTTTGGCCATCAGTGTATCGCGAACACATGAAGGACATCGCGTTCGCGTTGAGGAAATGGATCAGCTGGGACCCCAATGGATTGTTCTATGTGTTTCTGTAGTAGAGGTTGCGTTCGCAAAACTTTAGGAAACAGAAAGTACGCGTTCGCGAGAGGATCCTCACGTTTGTGTAAGAGGGATTTTTGACTAGTAAAGCTTTGCCCTACGCGAACGCGAGAGAGTGGCCGCGTTCGCGAAGAAGAAAATCTGGACAGACAGTATAAACTTTTCAAACACGAGGGTTATCCATTTTTTTTTTATCAAAACTTGAGTTTGGGAGCTCGGATTTGGACGAGATTTTGAGAGATTTTCAGAGATATCAATTGTATAATAATTCTTAACTTGATTTTGGTTATATCCCACTAATCTATCATTAATTTATCATTTAATTCCGGATTTGGGGTGAAAAATTGAGAAGAGTTCTTAGACCGAACTTTGGGATATTGATCAAGATTTGGTATCGGATTTGAGTAAATTTGATATGGTTAGATTCGTGAGTAAATGAATGTTCGTATTTTTTGACTTTTATCCAATTTCGAGATGTGGGCCCGGGGAGGCTTTTGGGAGATCTTCCAATTTCTTGCCTTAGCTTTGATTTCATTAGTTAGATTAGTTTCTTGTAGTTATATTTATGTTATGTAATTGATTTTTGCTAGATTTGGGCCATTCAGAGTCGGATATTCGTGGAAAGAGCGTTGTGATGGATTGATTTGAGCTTGGTTCGAGGTAGGTGGCTCACCTAACCTTATGTAGGGGAACTCCCCTTAGAATTTGGTATTGTTTTGATATGTGAGCGACGTGTACGTGAGGTGATGAGTACATATACGGGCTATTTGTTGTAAAACCCCATTTTTCAGTAAGTCATAAACCGTTTCTTCTTATTTGAACTACACTAGCATAGGTAACTATTCTGTTTCGTTAGAATAGTACGCCTACGTGTTTTAACTACCTAATTAAACTCTGTGCAACATGTTTAGTGAAATTACCTGCTTTATTTGACTTGAACTTAGTCTAAACTATAGGTTTTCTTGATGTAACTGTTATTTCTATTGGTTGAGCTGCAAATTTACTTTGGAACTACGGAGCGGTATTCTGGGAGATCCCCCTATTTTGCATATTTACTTTGGGACTACGGAACGGTATTCTGGGAGATCCCCCTATTTTGCATATTTACTTTGGGACTACGGAACGGTATTCTGGGAGATCCCCCTATTTTGCATATTTACTTTGGGCCTATGGAACGGTATTTTGGGAGATCCCCCTGCACATTTAAGTTTGGGACTACGAGACGGTATCTCGGAAGATCCCCTGTTGTTATCTCTGTATTCTGAGCTATTGTCTTTCTATGATTCTATTCCTATTAGATTTCTATATTTAATTTTGACTATGTTATCTCATTCTGTCTTATTTAATTATATTTATACCAGTAGGGCCCTGACCTGATCTCGTCACCACTCGACCGAGGTTAGGCTTGGCACTTAT